ACTATAGCTAAGTTTGAAAAAAAAAAGTATTATGGTTAGTTGTTAGGGAATATATAAAAGTAATATTTAAATTAAAATAATTAAAGTTGATTTAATTTGATGTAAAAGTAGGAGAAAATGATTGGAAATGATGTTTACTTAAAATTATGTGAGTTGATTAATAGTGAATTAAAGTTGATGTGATGTGTAAGAATGATTGATTGATATTATTTAATTATATTGATAATATTGAAGATAGTGGAATTGAGTTAAATTTGAGTTTTGATTGAAATTTTTACTGTAAAATATGTAAACAATCACGCCCAACAATCAAGCCCTTAATTTCATGCATGAATAATTAGTTGAGAATATTTTAGTCCAGATATTGTTGCAAATTGCATATTTTGACTGCACATTTAGTTCAAACGAAATTCACATTTAGTTCAAACAAAATATATATTTAGTTCATACGAATTAAATATTTATTTCATGAACAATACATATGTTTGTTATGTTTTTCTATTTATTTTGTGTTTTATGTGATTTAGTCGAGTCGTTTTTATGTTCGTTTTAGTTGACACCGACATTTTGTCGTGTTTTAGGTATTTTAATTTTCGTTATGTGTTTTTGTATTTTATCGTATTTTCGTGTCTCTTTTGGTGTGTTGTTTAGATCCAATTTACAATTTTGGGAAGACGTGCCGTTTGTGCCATTTTCGTGCTATTATCGAGCCATCCGAATCGTTTACGAACAAAATAAAAGAGTGGAACAAAATAGAAAGCACGTATTCACTAAATACGTTTTCAGTACAGATTCAATTGTAAAACGTATTTAGTGAATACGTTTTACAAATTGTTTTATAAAGGAAAACGTATTTTGAAAATACGTTTTACAATAAAAAAACGTATTTACTAAATACGTGCTTTTGATTTTGTTCCACTTCCCTTTGCTTGTGTATTTTTTTTTCAAAACTTTAATTTTTTTTTTTTATTTTCAGGTAAAAAAAATCCTGTTTGACATCTCCCCAATTTTGGAATCGAAAATTGCAGAGTATTGACGCTCCTCGTTCATTCTGGCCGGCCAAGGTAAGCTCGAATCTCTCTTTTTTTTTTGGATAATGCAAACAGTAATTCGGCTTCGACATTGAATAGTGCTTCGACCTTTTTACAGAGTCGGGTTTTGTATTATCGAAATTTCGGCTTCGTCGTTCGTCCTTCTTATCGGAATTGTCCCTTCCGGACAAGATTCACCGTCGTTCATCCACGCGTGGAAACCTCGGTGCACCTCGTCGTCGCAAATGAAAGAAGGGCTCGACGGAATTTTGGAAAGAGGGGCTCGGACCTCGTCGTCCACGGCTGGTTTGGGTTTATTAGGGTTCGGGCTCGACGGAATTTTTGAAAGATGGGCAAATGAATTGTTCTTGATAAAATTGGACTGAGTTTTGGATAGCATCGAAGCATTTTTGCGTGGCTGGAATCCATTGATTCAGATGTTCAAAGTGTTGAGTTAATGAAATTAAATGATGAAAATTGGCTGGTGAGGACAAGTTTCACGGAGCACCTTACTTGGAGAGACAAGTTTTATGAAATAATAGAGGTTAAATTGGGCATTTAACATATAAGACAAATTTCAGATCTTTTAGAGTATGTTTGTTTATGGAAATTTTCCAAAATTTCTAACATTTTAACTCAACCACTTTTTTTAACTCAACTTTAACTCAAACTCATAATCATCAATATAATCAATATAATTAAATAATATCAATCAATCATTCATACACACCACATCAACTTTAATTCACTATTCATTCACTCACATTATTTTAACTAACCATCACATCAAACAATCACTCTCCTACTTTTTCATCAAATCATTTTAATTATTTTATTTTAAATAATATTTTAATAAACCCACTAACAATTAACCATACTACTTTTTTTAAAATTAACCAAACCAAACCAAAAAATTCAAATAAAACCAAAAATTTCTATAAACAAACATGCTCTTAATCTCATAATGTAAACATAAGACAAATTGCTGACGTGTAAAATTGGTTGGATTATTATGAATAATCCCATCCTTGAAAGTAAATGAGGCCCAAGTATACGACTGGAGAACGGATTTTCAAGTATTCGGGTCGAAACTACAAACTCAATACTTGATACAATTTATATATTTTCGGCCTTAAACTAAACCGATAAAACTCCGTTAACATTTGATGACAAAATAAATAAATAAACATTAAATGATATTCCTTCATATTTTTATTATTTGTCACTTTGATTTAATGAATTATTGATTAAATAAATATTGTTTTGGCTATTTTGTTCATATTTGTCTATTTTTAACCCTGCATCGATACACAATGCCTCTTCATATCTCATCTTCATAGTTTCCTATAACATTCATTAAATAGGGTTAATATTGACAAAAAAAATTCTTAATTAGCGTGGTACTTCTCAAAACTACAAATAATAAAAATAGGAGGGAGTATAAAACTATTTATTTATGTTACAGAGATTCGTGCTGGCGTACCATACCAGACTACCAGTAAAAAACATAAGCCGATAATATTTCACACACACCATTTTCTCCAAATAGAACAAAGGGAAATAAAGATCAACAAATCTCAAATAGTCAAACGCCATTCTCAAACCACCCAAAACAAAACGAACACACACAAACACACACATCAACTCCAAACAAAACGAACACCAAAGTTTGATAAAATTAAATGGTCTCCATGAACTCAGCATCTTCTTCCAACGCCGCCATAACTTTTGGCGCCAGACAGACCTCAACATCAACCCCATCCCCTTCAGCCGCCGTGAAAAGCATCACTCTCCCATCCCATTTCTGAGCCTTTCCACTCCTTACAGCCACCGGCTTCCCTAGCCCCACATTCCCCATGCCTCCGTACGCGTCGAACTTGGGAAAACTCGTCACCCCCAGTGTGAAACTCCCCTCGACGTGCACGTGCAACCGAGGCTCCTTAACCCACTCCTCTAGAAAACCCAACACAACCTCCTCCTTCCCTTTCCCGGCAAAAAAGGCCTTGAGCCCGAGCGCAGGTCGGCCCAACCCATCTCCCAACACCTCCCTCTCACTCATGCAAAGCCTTGAAACATCAATAGCGTTCCCAAAATACCCTTCCGGTAATGGGATTTTCCCTCTTGCACCGACCGACGTGACGAAAACTTCCTTCCAGTCGCCACCTGTCTTTTTCCGGCTACGCGCCACGCACCGCCACAGAAGAGCCACGATCACCTGGAACGACGTAAACTCTCCGGCTTCCGAATTTACACTCGCCTTTAGCCTCCCCACGCTCTCCTTGCTTATGTGGAAAACCCTCTCGAGCAATAAGGGCCGCACGATTTTCGTATTGAAGTCGGGCACACGGACGGGTATGGGTCGGTTTTCCCATCCCGGGAAATTGCGCGCGAATGAGGGCATTTCCGATATTTTTTCACGACCACGGACAATCTCGGACCACGAGCGGATCAGATGCCACAGGGATGAGCCATCCATAATGGCGTGGTTAGCTGCACAACCCAAGAAGAGGCCGTCCTCGAGCTCCGTGACCTGGATGGCGAATAGTGGCTCGGAGGTCCCTTGAAAGTTGCGGGTCCCATTTAGCGGGAAGAAGGAGAAGACGATTTCTGGCGTGTAGGTGGCTTCCATGATGTGGGTAACCGAAATGTCGGTGGCGGCCGCATGGATGAAGCCGACGCCTTTGTTGTTGCAGTCGACGAAATAAACAGCCGTTTGTTTGCTGTTGTTGGTGTTTTCGGTGGCGAGGCGGCCGGCGAGCGGGGGAAAGTAGTCGAGCACGCGGGAGAGTGAGGCTTTGAGGTAATCGATAATGAAATTGATAGGGAATTTGGGCTTGTGAAATAGAACCCCGTATTGGATTGGTTCGAGTAAGAGCATTTGCAAGTCCCATGGAGTTAAATCGAGCCGTGACATTGGAGTTGCGTCGACGGACGCCATAGGGACAAGGCTCGATGATACTACTTCAACTTTTGCCATCCTTTATTATATTTTCTTGTTTTCCCTTTCTTTTGGCAAGGAAATGTGATAACTGGGTATTGAACAGGGGTTTATTTATCGTACAAAGTTGTGAATTTGGTACAAACGTGAATAATGAATAAAGAAAAGCACCACATGATGGGCGCAGGGGTATTATAATTGTGAAGAACAATCATTAATGAACAAAGAAATTAGGCATTATCACATCCTATCATTTTTTTTTTTTTGGTACACGAACCTTTCGGTTATCGGATCCACAGGGGAACCGACTAATCCGGAATCGAGCCGGATAGGACCACAAGGGCGGCAAAGCTCTCCCTCAAGAGTTTTTAACACTGCTGCATTCCCAGGGTTCGAACACGAGACACTGGTTAAACTGGAAGAGACCCAAGTCATCTCATCCAAACGCTCTTTGGTTCACATCCTATCATTCTCTCCGTATACAACTGAGGGTGTCATTCAATTCGCTTAGTTATGGTATTAACAAAATTGCAACATGCGCTGCACGTAGGTCAACACTTCATTTATTTACAATTTTTTGCATTAATTAAGTTGTATATGTCGTCCAAAAGCTTCTCCAACTGTTGGTATTTGAGATATATATTTGTGGAAAATGCTAAGGTCCCGTTACGGAACCATTTCGTCGGGGTTTGTAACCGTTAGATCAACTATCCCCGACGGTTACAGGATGATCTAACAGTTACAAATCCCGACGGAATGGTGCCGTAACGGGACTGTAGCATTTCCCTATATTTGTACATGGAAATGCTTACCATCCTGTTATGAAATTATTTCGTCGGGATTTGTAACTGTTAGATTATTATGTAATTGTCGTGGATAGTTGATCTAACGGTTACAAATCTCAACATAATGATTCCGTAACGGGACCGTAGAATCTCCCATTTGTACAATTGTAGATATGAAGGGAGATTGAAAATGAGTTAGACTGCTATATTCTGGTCTATCAATTTTTGTGTAATAATAGTATAAAAATATAATCTGTTATGATTTTTCTATTTATTAATTATAACCAAGTCTAATTTTATTTATATTTTTTATGAGCAGGTCAATATATTTTTTTTTTATGTAATTGTCACTTTTTAATCAAGTTTTAGTTCAATTTTTGATGTGTAGACATCGATCTATAACTAATTAATTTTATCATATGGTTCATAATTCAGTATAAAACAATAGCGGGTCTAATTTGCATGTGAAGTTGTAGAATATAGTGAGGCCTCCTTTACTTTATGTGATTAGATAGGATATTCCTTATCATCCCTTCACTTAAAGCGATTAAAGCCCGTTGGACAAGTTTCAGCCTGGGAATAGTCTAGCATCCAGTTATCCTTTGTTATGGGCCTGGGCCCAGTCTGTACAAAAATCGCAACATGGAGTCCGCGAATATTTTACGGGCACTCCACTGAGTTCTATGAGAAAATTATGCCAGGGCCGAACTAATTTAAAAGTATTTGCATATCTACTATGATTTATTTTTATTAGCAGATTTGAAGGATATGTACAAAATATTTTTTTCAATAATTAATTGTTTGGTAACTGCTAGTTTTATTAAACTGGTTTTATTAAACGTGGGATATCATTCACGAACCTACCTCTTTTTACGGTTATCTCTCTCTCCAAATTCTCTCTCCTTCATTACGACTTCTACTGTGTATTCTGCTACGTTGCCGCCTCCGTCGTGGTCGTCGTCTCTCTAGACGACCTCGGCCCCACCGGATTCCTGAAATTCAACAACCTCATCCCGCTCAACCTCATCCCGTTCCCAAGGTCCAACATGTGTATGGTCCAGATCCCTACTCGCAGATCCGTCATCTCCACTGTCGGAGTTTGTCCAAGGCGGCTTGAGGAGACGAAGGATGATCGGAGAATTTTGTTGTTAGGTTTTAGTTGAGAGAAGGACCAGACCAGATGGTATATATGTTGTATATGTGTAGTATATTTATACTTTTCTTATAATTATTTGTGTAGTTGTAGGTATATATACTATATATTTTTCGTATATATATTGTTTGTGTATTTTCGTATGCACACTATTAGAGTGTGTATATTTGAATTTTTGTACGAAATATTTGAATTGAAAATCATAAGGATCGGCGTGATCCTAGGTATATATATTGTATATACTGTTTATATTCTGCATATTTTATGTATATGTTGTGTGCTCCACCATCTCGTTGCTTAGAAAATAGATGACGCTGCTCTTGTTTAGTTCAGAGTTTTTTTTTTTTTT